ACACTCTAAACAGCACCAGCGTGTCGAAGGCCTACCAGAGCACCTTCACTGGAGAGCTCAACACACCGTACAGCAAGCAGTTCGTCCACTCCAAGTCGTCCCAGTATCGACGGCTGAAGACTGAGTGGAAGAACAACGTGTATCTGGCACGGTCGCGCATCCAGGGCCTGGGGCTGTACGCTTCCAAAGATCTGGAGAAGCACACGATGGTCATCGAGTACATCGGAACCGTCATACGCAACGAAGTGGCCAATCGGCGGGAGAAGATCTATGAGGAGCAGGTACGCCAATTTAGCAATAGCACTTAAATGCAAAGCACTCAGTAATTCAAGGAATGCACAAAAAGAGAAAAATAGTTTGGAGGTGCGGGAATAATTAATTTGATGCGATCCAGATTTATTTTTTAAACGCTTTCTGTTTCTTTTTCCCAACCTAGAACCGTGGGATCTACATGTTCCGCATCAACAACGAGCAGGTGATTGATGCCACTCTGACAGGAGGTCCAGCTCGGTAAGTGTTGATTTGCGATTGGCTTCCTCATTTTAAACCATAGCGTCAAGAAGTTTTTTTTTTTTTAACTGCCGTTTATCTCTTTTCCAGGTACGCCAACCATTCCTGCGCCCCAAACTGTGTTGCAGAGGTAGTCACATTTGACAGAGAAGACAAGATTATCATCATTTCCAGCCGCAGGATCCCCAAAGGGGAAGAGGTACGGTGCATCAGATAACCAGCCCCTACAGACTTCTACACATCCAGATACTACCACCTATTGCATGTGTTTGCAGACATTAACTGCCTCCATTTCTTATTTCCAGCTGACCTATGACTACCAGTTTGACTTCGAGGACGATCAGCACAAGATCCCTTGCCATTGTGGAGCCTGGAATTGCCGAAAGTGGATGAACTAACCAGAAGAAAGAAAAATGGAGAATTCCCCTCTCACTGGTGCCAGAACACTCCTGCGCCAAAGCCTTTGAATCCTACATAGCCAGTGCATAAGCTGTTTTGAGAGATGTGGAGGAAGGCCGGCCTCCATCACTGAGAGACTAAAGCGTTGACACCTGTAGCCAAAGGTTTGAAGAGCATTAATCAATAAAAGCAACCGACCTCCTCCATCAACAGCAGTTTGATGGTGGGACTTACTTTCATGTTTGGACTAGTGAATCACCTTTTCCTCAGCCAAAACCCTTCCCCCCCCCGCCCCCTCGACTGTTCTTAATACTCTTACAGTGGCTGGAATACAATCCTCAACAACTACCAAATGATTCTGACCCTCTGGTATCAATACTCGTAGTGGAGAGCTCAGCTGGAGCTTCGACAAAAAGCCATTTTAAAATACTAAGAATGAACTAATGATGCATTTTTATGTTTTAAGTCGGACCTATTTCCTGTCCCTCCTGACCACACCTCCCCCTCATCTCCCAGAAAAAGGCACTTTCCCATCAAGTCATCAATGAAGACAACACGGATATTAGCTAGCTAGACAATCTTGATGTGGCTCTGTGTAAGAACTACATACGATCGATGGAAAAAAAAAAAAGATGAAAGTTAATATAAAATTTTAGATGCTATTGATCTGTGGCTCCAGTGGCATCAGATGTTCTGACTGTGTGGAGTCCCATGGTGGGTTAGTTGGACCCAGTCTACCTCATTGATTTATCGGGAAGCGACTGCTTTGTATAAAAACTGTTAACTGCTACTGTGGAACGGGGGGGGAAAGGGGGAATGTTTTTATGGGCCTTCTCGGACAAGCAGGGAATCTTAAGCAGCAGGTTTGCTCTATCTACTCTATGCTGATGATGATTTACAATAATGAGCCAACATAATTATTATTCATGAATTGTTTATACAGAGGAAATATATGACAGTTTTGATAAGATATTGCATTAAAAATCACAATCAGAAGCTTAGCGGGTGTCCTGTATGCCACCAAATCCTCCTGGATGTAGCTTTTTCTTTTTTTTTGTTCTTTCTATTTATGCGTCTCAGAAAACTACGTTATGAGCTGTGTGAAAGCACAATAATATCCACCTTTTTTAAGTTGCTGAAAGACAGTAATGGTGTGAGTGAATGGCTCTAGGATCATGGGATAAGCAGTCTGAAGAAGACTACGATGTCCGAAATTAACCAATTACACATTTGCTTGTTGCTTCATACATTGAATTTCCACTTGATGAAAACCAGCTGGTGGATGCATGACTACTGTCCCATGAAATGCTTTTTATTCTCCCCAATCTTTTCACAACTCAACCTTGAACTTTGAATCATGCCTCTTCCTCTCTGTATGATTTAGTGGACTGTTGTTAAACGTGACTGTAGTAAGTCTTCCTCTGCCTGAGTACAGCCTGCAGTGTTTCTACTTCCCCTGTAGTGTGCTGGTACTGTTCTCTTGAGGCTGAACTGACAGCAGGGAAAGACTTATTGGAAAAAAGGGCATTTGTTTTCATTTCTATGTAAGATGAATGAAAAAGTCTTTAAAGGGAGCTTTACTAAAACTTCCTACCTTCCCATATTACTTTGTTTCCTCCTCCCCCTAACCTAAGACCTCACATGATTTTAAAATGCAAAGTTGTACAAACTGTATATATAGTATATGCATTAGGGGACAGCAACTCTTTATCAAACCCCTTTGTAATCAATAAAGTCAAAAGTGTAGAGAAATAAAATTGAAAAAAAATCAACCACTGGATATCATTTTAACAAAGATAAAGCTGTATATAAATATAAATATATGTAAAATGGCAAACTAATATCTTTATGTATATGAACCAGAGTGTTTTGCATTTACCTGTTTTTCTATTAGTGTTTTTGCTATAAGCTCTCAGAGACAAGTTTGTTAAAATAGGTTTGAGAATAATGTCTTCTCCAATCAATTGTGACGAGAAGCTGGTGTGATTACAGAACTGTTTGGATTCATGTGGAGGTCGGTAATTAGACATGAAAATCCCTTCTTGCGTAAAGCAGTACAATGGTGCATAGCATTTGTATTTATGTAATATTGTTTGTGTTTATTTTCTTTTTATTTATGCTACTGCTTGTTGATTACCAAAACTTGTCCCTTAATCGGTCACAATTGGATTAATATACTCTTGAATGGAAAATCTTGAATCCCTAGAATATTGTTAGTGTTTCGCTTTTTTATATCTTCCCTATAGAAGTGAATGTGTTGGTAAACCTTGTGAAATGGTTACTTGGCCTAATGTATGTTATGATGTAATACTCAAAGTTAATCCCATACTTATTCTGGTAATGAATTGCACTCTCATAGTATAACGGAGAATTTCTCTAAAGTGGTAGATATTGATCAAGTATCCGAAGCAGTGATATATATATTTTTTGGTATGTTTCTATTTCAAGGGAAGACCATGATGAGACATTATGCCGCTCACTGGATTTTAGCCTGAATAATTTTTAACTTCTCTAAATCTTAATTTAAGTTCTCTGCATATCTTATAATTTAATAAAGTTTGCTCAAATTGAAGGTTTTTTTTAACCTCACCTACTTTTTAAAAAGACGTTGCATCTGTACAGCAGAGATACTTTTAGGGAATATGAATAAATCTAATGATCATTTTTATTGTATGTGGCATGTTTTGTATGGATATTATTTTGAATTGTACATATTTTTTTCAGGACGCCAGAGGTTGCATCTCTTTATATACAGCTGTCCCACTCCCCTTTCCCTTCATCTTATTTCTTTGTCAGCTTTTGTTTCTTGTAAAGGAAAATAAAATGCATTTTAAATATGTGCCACTCTTATTTTAATTAAGGACGCAGACGTCAATTACGATGAAGGAGCTTGATGGCTTATTCCTGAAATTATATTATATTATTATTGTGGACCTTTATTCATATGAAAGCAGGTGGTCAGTGAAACCATACATGAGATATAAGCTCTCGAAAAAAATATATCAAGTGAACCATTAGTGGTGAATTTCGTTAAAGCACTGACATCTATTATAGCCTCTGGATTAAAACTGCTAGCTAAAAGGCCAGCTGAATAGAAACACAAATTAAATGTAAAGACTAGCCACAAACAGCATTAAGCCTGCCTATGATGATCTTTAAACTGTCGCGCAATGCATTATCGGTGAAATAACACTTTATAGAAGAGGAAAACAATGCAACAGCGACACTTAGCGGCAGACTTTAGATTACAGTCTGCAACACAATGTAAAATACCGTGCACTCTTTAGTAGTTTTTTATCAACTGGACGGAAATAAAGAGAAAAGAAAAGAAAAAAGGATAACAACATGGAGCCGAAACGACGTCCCGAAAATATATGGTACAAGAATAAAAATTGAAAGATAACAATTGAAATAGTTAGCTAAAAGTAAAGGATACACAGATAAAATATTAAGGTAGCTATAAGTAATGGATAAGCTTACAGTCATGGAAACAAATATTGTAATAGTTATCTTAAAGTAGTTCAACAGTTGAAATAGTAAGATTAATATAAATGGATAAACAGTTGAAAAACGTAGCTTATAGTATTGGATAAATAGTCTTAATAGTTAGCTAACCTAACTAAGCTAAAGCTAATTGCGTTAGGAGAAATAGTTGGAAGAACGCTGCACGACATTTTTAATAAGCACCAGTTGAAGACACATAAGAAAAAGAGGAATTTATTGTATATAATCTATATACACTTTTCAACATGTTCTGAAAAGATTTGCACAACATGATTTTTTTTAAGAACAGGATGTCTGACGTTCATAATGGCAACAAACCAAACATGGAAAGTAGTGTTTTGACAATTTTGGTTCAACTGACAACGTGTCTCCGTTTTCTCTGCCAGCTCTTCTTCTCTGTTCGTCACGCTGAACTTCCACCCATGTTAACAGTAGCAGCAACATGTCTGGGGTACACAGCCAACGACCCGAACAAAAAGGAAGAAAACAACAGGTAGGAAGAGGGATATTTTTGAAGTTCTACTCAGTGCAGAAGACCCAGTGTTTGAGACAGCATGCAACAATTGATTCTAACATGACACATGGATTCTGGATAAAGTGATGACACTACTAACATTAACTCAAGTCTATGTGGACATAACAGTGCAGAGCCCAACAGTGACAAATGTCAGTGTAATACTTTCATAGTTTTGTAGCAGATAGACAAGCTGCAGAAGTATAATGAAAACATGCAGTTACACTTAAGAGCATGTCAGTCTTTGAAGGTAAAACGTCTCAACTACTTTTCACATCTAACCGTATGTTCCCTGTGTGCGAACGCTCAGCAGCCTTGTGTATTTCTGAATAAATAGCCTTTGGCAGTATCAGAATTAAAGGTTACATGACGTTCCTAAATATTCCAGTGTCAATGAGAAAGAGATGTCACCCCGGAGCACATTATACAGATCTGCATTAGTGAACTCCACAAGCAATTCCAACACTTGTACATAAAAAAATAAAAAAAGGTTGCAGCAAATTATCTGGGATCAGTAGTACCACCAAACTGCTATGAAACTCCAGCAGATGAATGTCTATTTCCTGGCACAGTTAGGAACCATGCAGACAGATCAAAAGAAAAGAAAAAGTTGCATTTAAGCAAAATCAATGTTCAAATGTCACACTGGTGCTTCTGGCATAAAAAGGGGGGGGAAAAAAGCATATTTTATATACAAATCATATGTACCTATTATCAGTAGTTTCTAATGTCAACGTCAAAAGAAAAACACCCATCATGATTTTTTTTATACACAAAACTAAAAAATATTAAAAACACAGCTCATGATCACAATGTCTTCGCCTGTCACCAACAGGGGTTATGGCTACATCCATGTTAGCACTCAGTATCTTATTACAATGAATGCAACAACCCCTTCATCTAAGGTCTGAAAGATGGTCAAACCTGGATTGAACTACAACAGTAATTTTCATATCATATTAGATTCTGGCTTGTCACATCTCACAGTGTTCATTAATATGAAATAAAAAATATGCACAAATAAATAAAAAGTAAAACCATCCCAAACATTATCCCTGCCAAATCAACAACTGGACTGGACCACATCTGTTATGCGATACCTGCAGGTGTCACACAGTGTGGAAGCTACAGTATAGAGTGCAACTCCTTTCTGTGGGATCAAAGAGCAAAAAAATTGCTTTTCATGCTTAATTACCAAATCTCCCATTACAGGATTTGTCTAACACGCTACAGCCTATACCAGAGGGCATCTTGGTGTCTTTGAAACATGCTACTAGTCCAGACACCATTACACACCACTAGAAACAGTGCTTTGGCGTCCTTCCCCCTTACAAACACACACATTCACAGCAACACAATGTCACGATGCATTGCCGACAGAATAAGAAGTGTCATTATTCTTAAACTTAAAACATTCCCGGCTTTTGAGGACAAGGTAAGTCCATCATGGGACATATTTCAGAGGTAAAAAAAGAACAAAAAGAAAAATATCCCATCACTGTACAATAGTAATAATTCCTGCCATGGGAAATGAAAACTAAAAAAAGTTTTGAGTGTGATGATGTTAACAGTGGTAGTGCTGTGGCCCATGGAGTAGGGGCGGTAGAAGGGGAACAGGGAGGAGACACGAGGAACAAAAGGAGGCAGGGGGAGAGAAAAGTCAGAAGGGGAAGGATGACTCAGTAGTTTTGGCTAAAAAGATGAGGTAGGCCTCGTCACAACTTGGAGTGTGGCTTTAAAACTGGCAGGGTTTTCATTTGCAGTTTGTCTTTAGTGTTTGTTTCCTATGGGAGTGTTTTCTGGAGGTCAGCGCCAGACCGCTCACATCTTGACGTCCTCCTCCACGCTGAGCTGAGAGAGGGTCTTTTTGATGCGCAGGGCCGTCAGTCTGGCTGCTCCATTGGCATACCAGCACTCCCTCATGATTTTCCCCATCACACGCAGTGACTGCAGGAAAGGGAATACATGATTGGTTAACAAACGTTTTCGAAACATAAAAAAAGGAAAATGACACTTTATTTGAAAGGTTGCAGATAATGACATCAATCAGTATAGTTAACCAATAAAATAAAACACTGCTGTGAAACATGTCAATTTTCTGGACTAACATCATTTTAACAGTGGAAATAACATCAATACTACGCCACAACATTGATAAAGGAATGAGCAGTCCCTGGTTATCAGGATCACATGTTCAGTCCAACTGCCTTTCTATACAGCCACTGAGAGTATTTTTAGAAAATAATCAGCTGTTATTGTATAGCTGATACGAGTGTGAAATACCTCGTAGCTCTGCCACCAGTTGGGCACATTGGGCCTCAGTTTCTGGTCACACACCAGCTTCCTCATCTCCTCTATGGAGGGGTCCGAGGGCACGAGGTCGTAGTAGGGCAGCTGGTACTCCTCGTGGATACCTGCAGAACACAATGAGGAGGCCTTATCAGTCTCTGTTCACATGTTCATTAGACCGGATCATTTGTACAAAAACATGTGTAATTATAATTTATGAATACACCCCCCCCCCCC